CACACACACACACACACACACACACACACACACACACACACAGAGTAGTATCAGAGACCTTGGGGAGATTTGCTGGTTAATTTGGGTTGTTTTTCTGCTATAGCGGCAGTGTGTTCGTAGTGGCCTCGCGTGACGTCATCAATAATCGGTGTTACAATAATGGCCTCGTATTACGTCACCAGTGATTAATGTGTTGCAGTAATGATCATGTAAAACATATTTAATAACGTTTGGTGTTGTGTTGCGAGAGCTGCCCTGTGTTGTGTTGTGTTGCGAGAGCTGTCCGTGTGTTGTGTTGCGAGAGCTGTCTTGTGTTGTGTTGTGTTATGAGAGCTGCCTGTGTTGTGTTGTGCTGCGAGCTGCCCCTGTGTTGTGTTGTGCTTGCGAGAGCTGCCCTTGTGTTGTGTTGTGTTATGAGAGCTGCCCCCAGGTTGTGTTGTGTTGCGAGACGTCTGTGTAAGGTTGTGTTGTGTTATGAGAGCTGTCCGTGTGTTATGTTGTGTTGCGAGAGCTGCTCTCTGTATGTTGTGGTTGTGTTGCGTGAGAGCTGCCCCAGGTTGTGTTGTGGGGTTGCGGAGAGCTGCCCTGTGTTGTGTTGTGTTGCGCTGAGCTGCCCTGTGTTGTGTTGTGGGCAGAGAGCTGTCCGTGTGTTGTGTTGTGTTGCGAGAGCTGTTCTATGTTGTGTTGTGCTTATGAGAGCTGTCCGTGTGTTGTGTTGTGTTGCGAGAGCTGTTCTATGTTGTGTTGTGTTGCGAGAGCTGCTCCTGTGTTGTGTTGTGTTGCGAGAGCTGCCCTGTGTTGTGTTGTGGGGTTATGGAGAGCTGCCCTGTGTTGTGTTGTGTTGCGAGAGCTGCCTGTGTTGTGTTGTGTTGCGAGAGCTGCCCCCTGTGTTGTGGGGTTGTGTTGCGGAGAGCTGCCCTGTGTTGTGCTGTGTTGCGAGAGCTGCCCTGTGTTGTTGTGTTGCGAGAGCCAAGCCTGTGTTGTGTTGTGTTGCGAGAGCTGCCCTGTGTTGTGTTGTGTTGCGTGAGAGCTGCCCTGTGTTGTGTTGTGTTGCGAGAGCTGCCCTTGTGTTGTGTTGTGTTGCGAGAGCTGCCCCTGTTGTGTTGTGTTGCGAGAGCTGTCCGTGTGTTGTGTTGTGTTGCGAGAGCTGCTCTATGTTGTGTTGTGTTATGAGCTGTCCTGTGTTGTGTTGTGTTGCGAGAGCTGCCCTGTGTTGTGTTGTGTTGCGAGAGCTGTCCGTGTGAAGTTATCAATAGAGATTAAAAACAGTTTATTTAGGGAGATAATTACAAATATAATCTGTACAGTATTAATATATTGATATAGTTTAGCCTTTTTAGGGTTTAAGCTCTGTTGAAAAGGAACTGATAAACACATTTATTTAGATTTTAATGTATATATAGGATGGAGTATAATCTGGTTGATAGCGAATGAATAGAAGGGGGAGTTAGAGGACGAATTTCAATTATATCTTAATTATATTTTTTGTTACTTTACTTGACGGTGATAAATGAAAATTCCACATGTCGGCTTTTCAAGAGAACCGATGCATTAATGAAAATAAACAATTCAACTGAAAATAAAACGCAATATAAATCTTGACTTCATTAGAAAAGAGTTTGGGAGGTGAAGCACTTGTTAGTTTTAACCCTCGAAGACCATAGTGGTTTAGCTTTAATAATAAGATGGTTCTGTGTAGGGAGGCAGGGACATTAGTGAAGTGCAGGGATACTCTAACTGTGTACAGGTTATTATCCAAACACTTTATAATATCATTAGTGTAAGAGACTGAAGCAGAATCAATGAACACTAGTGTGTATTATGTGTCACCTTCTCCAATACTTAGCTCTCCCACCTCCCTGGACTTAACAATTTCTCTAACTGTTGGTGTTGTCTTGCTGTGACGGCCCCATGTGACGCCCCCACCAGTCGGTGTGTTACGGGTGTGACGTTGTCTATGGTCGGTGTGTTATTTAGACATACTGTATAGGTCACGTTGGAAAGGGATTATTGTCTAATTTATCCTTAAAACGCAATGGAAGTTAGTTCATATGTGATCAAATGATTTTGTTTCATTTAAGACATCATTTATTACTATAACAACCAAACTATACATATATCAAGGTAGATTAGCGTATCGACGTACATATACTAATAACCACATACACTGCATTACAGGGAATATGTGTAACTGGGGATTTCACGTAAATCCTGAAATATTAAAAAAAATAGTAATTGCTGAAACCATTATCATGATCAATGATTAAGTTAGGTTAGCTGCCAGTCACAGAAATTACCAGAAATACTTGATTGTTTTAGGAATTACGTTAAATCTCTAGTTACACATCTTCCCCGCATCTTGTACAAACAAAACTAATTTTTCGAAACACTGTAAAAATTATCGTCAAAAACTTTTTGTGTATGTTTATGAATACCTGATAATTTTAAGAGATTTACCTCAACCCCGAAGTTTTCAAGGTTTGTTTATGTTTTCCCCCAGGAGAGCCGCTGGCACCCCCGGTGTTGGTGGGGGCGAGGGAGATATACGAGCCCACGGAGATGATCAAGATAGGCTGTCAGCCCCGACCCTCTCTCTACGACGGCCACACACCTGTACTACAGTGGTTCCTGGAGGGTAGTCAGGTATGTAAGACCACACACCTGTACTGCAGTGGTTCCTGGAGGGTAGTCAGGTATGTAAGACCACACACCTGTAATACAGTGGTTCCTGGAGGGTAGTCAGGTATGTAAGACCACACACCTGTACTACAGTGGTCCCTCTCACACTGGTACCTTAATAATAAGTGAAAATATCCCCTGGGTTCAGAAAACATTCAGAAATCAAAATTGACCTGTTCTGTTGTGTGCAGACTGGATGGCTATATAAAGATGGAAGATGGTCACTCGCGACACATTAATCACGGCATCCTCCTCCCGAACAAACTAACAACCATCAACACCAATGCCGTAAAAATACACCATACTATTACTTATTTAAAATTACATTGCTGAAGAACCAATCCTTGACCCTATTCAGTTGCACTTACAATCAGTTGGACTTGATTTCATGTCCCTTACAGAAACTCAAATTTTCTTCCTATCATCTCGCTCCAACTTTCCCTGTTACAATCTATTTTCAGATCTCCAAAGCAGTGATGGTCTGTGCTGCGATGAGAAGTCTAAGATTACTTTCAACATAATCCCTAACTTCTCCTCTCCTCACTATATCTCCTGCTTTACCAAATTCTTCTATTTCAATACTATTATATATTTATTTTTCTTTTGCGTCTGTCTTTCGTCTGGTACTCTTGTGGTGCTCAGTCTAGTTGACACTCAATTAACCTAGCTCATAGTGTTGGGTGATCAACATCCACAACACACAATGGTTGACGTATACTGCTGGTACTGAGCAACACTTTGTCACCTCGCTTAATCTTATGCAACTGGTCAACACTCACACTGGTCAACACTCACACTGGTCAACACTCACACTGGTCAACACTCACACGGGTCAACACTCACACTGGTCAACACTCACACGGGTCAACACTCTCACGGGTCAACACTCACACTGGTCAACACTCTCACTGGTCAACACTCACACTGGTCAACACTCACACGGGTCAACACTCACACTGGTCAAAACTCACACGGGTCAACACTCTCACGGGTCAACACTCACACTGGTCAACACTCTCACTGGTCAACACTCACACTGGTCAACACTCACACGGGTCAACACTCACACACTGGACACCTGTTAGATCCGTCTTAATAATTATCCAAACTCTTACTCTCACGATCCACTCTTCTTGGCGCCTCTGACCATCGCCTCGGCTCACAGTAACTCTCTCTTCCCAAAGCTCGTCCGTCGGAAATTTGTAAAAGTACACACCACCATTACGATCAAAAGTGAAATGTTTCTGAAGATTAAAAATTTATTGTTGACATTTCCTCGTCTATAAATAAACTTACTAAACAGAAAATAGTGATTAATGAAGGAAGAACTTTTATAATAAGAGTGATTCATTTGTTTGAGTTTTCAGCAAGAGAGAAACTGGTCACCGCTGAAAGTAGGATTAAGTCAAGGATGAGGAAGTAAGGGAGGAGGAAGAAGGACTAATGGGAGGAAGGAGGGGGGACAAGTCTAGTAAATAATGATATGGACTACAAACAAGAAGTGAGTCAGCTGCTGTTCACAGATGACACCACTTTAGTGAACTATTCAGACGACAAAATACAAATGGTACTGAAAAGATTTAGAAGGCTGAGGGTGAAGGTACACAAAAGTAAAGTAATTAAAAGTAAGTACAATATATAAGAGAGACACGATACGATAATGCTAAATTTTAATATATATTCAATGATGGACGTGAGGTGTTTTAGATACCTAGATGTGGGACCGTCAGCAGGAGGAACATTTGGTAATAAACTGAATCCCAGAGTAGAGAAAAGAGAGGAGGTACTCGGTATATTAAAAATGTGTGGAGAGAAGAGAGAACCACGTTAAAAGAGACAAAGAAGGAGATGTACAGGAGAACCGTACGAGCCGACATTATTATATGGGGGGTAGAACATGGACTCTGGAGACAAGAGGAAGAGACAACGTAAAAGATCCCGTGTTAATGAGTGACATGTTGGGTGAACTGGATGTAGACAATGAGGAATAAAACCGGTTCAGGGTTTTATGTGTGTACTGAGATACTGTGAAGTGAAAGCTAAGTAAGTGTATGATTGAGAGGTGGGTGGTAGGAGAGAGAGAGAGAGAGAGAGAGAGAGAGGAGGAGAGAGAGAGAGAGAGAGAGAGAGAGAGAGAGAGAGAGAGAGAGAGAGAGAGAGAGAGAGAGAGAGAGAGAGAGAGAGAGAGAGAGAGAGGCTGAAGTCTACACCAGCAATAAGGAGCAATCATGTGGGAGGAGTATATAAAATTTCCTATAAGTTTCCTGGCAGTTCAAGGTCAACCAATATCATTTTCCTTCTTATATCAATATGTTAATGATCAAACGTCTTCTCCAAGTGTATCTGACAGGTATGTTATTTTCACCCCTACAGGTTGGGTCGGAGTTCGTCACACCGTACGGCAACGCCCTCAGAGATGGTGACTCAGGGCTCTCCTTACACGTGCCGGGGGAACAGGTGAGTGTTAGTCTAAAGGTCGGGATTCAGAGTCATATCTCAGGTAAAGTTATAAAGCAAAATGTTGTTATTACCTGAACTTCCCCACAAAAAATCTATACACCAAAATCATTAATTGAAAAGTAGTAAAAGTATATGGTTTTTTTTTTACATATACGGATAAAAAGTTTGAAAAATAACATAATTTGTGAGTAGTTTCTAATATCACCTATCCAACCCCATCCACCTCCACTATAAAATAAATAAATAAATAAATAAATAAATAAATAAAAGCAAAACTATCACATAATTCCTGGTAGACACAACAATATCACTCTGGATTTAAAACTGACAATTTCATAGTATAGGAAACAAGATCATTTCAATCTGGTTATAGATGATTAGTTTACCTGGAAGATTGGCAAAGCAGCGGGGGAGGTCTTATAGGGACCACAATAGCCGCCTTAGTAGTGACCAGATGAAGACCTACACATAAGCAGCGGGGGAGGTCTTGCAGGGACCACAATAGCCGCCTTAGTAGTGACCAGATGAAGACCTACACATATGAGGAACTCTCTTATTAACACAGAGGATGTTTGGGCTCCTCCTTGTAGGTGAAGACGACGGATGGTGGTAATAAGAAGTGTGGTTTAGTATCACAATAGACGCCTTAGCACTGAGCAGCTGGAGTCTGGCACATAATAAAGTAACTAATAACACCCACCAATGTTTGTGTTCCTCCATGAAGGGAAACATCACAGGAGGAGTCATGTGAAGGTTGAGATAAGTTGTTACGTGACCTAAATAGTGATACTAAAATATGGATCAGTATGAGTCTATGTAATTTACTGTTATAATAACCGAGAATATATAACAAAGGGTAATGTGGCAGGGGATGGTATTATGAGGCACATTTAATAGACAAAGGAAAATGGGAAAAAAATTTATTTCAGACTTTGTGACCGACACGTTGATATAAAGGAAAATGAATCTCCATATTCCTTTGATAAAACAAGTTTAGGAACCAATTACATTACGTCCAACAACGTGGAGGCAGACAAGGAACTCTCTACACACATTATGGTGTCAATGAACGCTGGACGGGATGTAGACTTGGGTACCATGTTAATGTAAGTGGTTTGTCATGTTTACTTTCACTAGTGGCTATAGATGGAGACTCTCAGAAATTAATTATCCTGGTCGCCTGAGGTAATAACCCGATGGTCTACGAGCAAAGTTGTCTTATGCAGAGACACAGTACTGCTGTGTTGGTTGATGTGTGATGAGACGAGGAAGGAAGGAAGGACACTGAAGTACGGGAGACAGAGGTGATCAATACAAGACATAAAACTTTTAGATGAAATAAAAAACTGATTAACTGACGCTTCAGCCTCTCGTTTGCAGAAAGAATCCAACCAGAACGACTTGAGAGGTAAAGAGCAGAGTTTGCTTGGTCACACTTAAAAGGTGGAGGTTCACAAATACTGGAGACTGAAAAAAAATCCATGTGTAAATTACACCATCCATATTATCCCTGTTGAAACTCTCAGACGTTTCTGTTAGATCACTTTATAAGTTACCACAGATACACTCATCCTGCATGTGAACTGAGTACACGATCATGATCATGTGCAGTACCAGAGCCTAACAACTAAGCCTAGTCTGCCACCATCGCTTGAGTATGGGTAGGAGGTAAGAATGACAGATGTCAGTGTTTGGCCATTATACCAATACTGTATCAGTGTGGTAACTCACAACCTGAGGTGAGGATGTACTGTACTGTAGAGGATCAGGTGACTAAGGTTGGACACGTTGTTGTTTGCAGGCGAGACAATAGTCTGGGTGGGGAGAGGAGCAGCTGTCGGTGTGGTGAGCTATGACGACACATTTAGTCTCTAGCTTGAACTACTCATTGATTTAATGTGGGATTCAGACACAAAGGACATTGTGAGGCTACGCTATATTGATTATTGAAAAAAATACAAGAATAATGTAAACGTCATTCTATTTTTAGTTTACGGCTTGTATGTTATTATGGAGTCAAAGGCGTCCAAATATTAAGGCTTCACTCTCGGCAATAGCACCAGAAAAAGTAACAGCTCTTTGTAACTTATATAATTTAAACTTATTTTACATTCTTGACTTACCACCACAAGCTCTCACAATACAGACGAGCCACAAAGACCAACACAAAGATACCATTAATTACTTGATTTACGAAAATACAATTTTTATTAAGTTCCGTAACACATTGGACAACCTACCTAAGCACAGAAGCTGAATTTGTATCATGTTCCATCACGATATAAATAAACAAAATTTGAAAACTTTTATTCAAAGACCTTATCATGTCTGTTATAACACCTGCTATCGGACTTGATACAAACTTGTTTCTCGAGCATCCAGCTCCCACGTGACCTACAAAGCTGTGACGTCATCTGGGGATATGCTTCAGCGTGAACATTTTCTACATGTCAAGAGGTTGGTGGTCAACAGTTTTATTGGCGAAGGCCTTTGACGTAATAATCCGCCAGCCAATTTGATTCTTGGCACATAGTGACGTAATGTTCTGTCAGGCAATCTGTGTCTTAAAACATATTAACGACAATACAGTATATGACATTATAATCCATCAGGCAATCTAAGGATATGAAAAGAGTGATAACAACCTGCGTCGTAGTACTTCGTCAGCATCCAATCAGAGGCTGGGAATATAAGTCAATCCGGGATATAATACGTCGTAGCCAACCAATCACCGTCTTCACAATGCAATACGTAAAACCTTCATCAACCAATCAGAAACTTCGATAATAGCACGATATATACCATGACGTCATACTTTACCCCTCAGCCAACCACAAGTTTGGACCAGAGGGACGACAGACTTACATGCTGAGATTCGCCAAGTAACCATAAAAAGTGAATGACTATCGATAACCTTTAACATATACCTATCACACCTGTTGGGCGCTCGTGGTAAATCAATAACTACCTGTACAGTATTTGGAGACCCACTTACCCTACTGATATATGATAAGAGGAATTTATACATGTTTTAGACTGTAGCTTTTTGTGAATTAATAGATTTTTTTCGTCTTTACAATAAATACTCAATAGACCAATAAAAATCTTTACTGATAAAAATCGTGATATTTGGTTCATCAGGATATATTACTCTTCCTTATGATATGTTTGTCACGTGTTTATGAGTACATTACCCTGGACTTACTCACGGATGAGTTGCGTGAGTCAGGTGGTGAGTCAATGACGTTTGTATATATGTATGTATGTATGTATGTATGTATGTATGTATGTATGTATGTATGTATGTATGTATGTATGTATGTATGGGTGATATATTTATAAATTCAAAATGTCAAAGGGAAACATCACCTCGGGCAACAAAATCCGTCAATGTCTCCGCAGCACAAGTGAACAAGGGAAAAATATACCGCGTCCCGTTTATACTTGACATATATGATTATTTCCACCGTGTCATTTCCTAGAGCCGTTGTGTAAGTTGGGGCTCGGAAAGTCAAAAGTCAAGGCTACAATATATTTAATAACCTTACTTATCCACAACACAACTGGGGAATAGATATGATTTACTTTAGTAGCTCTGGTACATAGATACAACGGGTCATCTAAAAATAATACCTAGTTAAAAATCAGGACTTTAATTAACGATGACGATGACCCCAGCCAGTGTAAGGTCACCATACCCTTTGTCGTTATTATAATGGGTCAGAAGGTCAGAGGTCAACACTACAACATCTAGCAAGGATCATTAACTTACGAAAGCTACGGTAGATCTATTTCACCATTAATTCTTCTATAACCTATTTTATATATTATTGTATACCTTCAGTACTGTAGAGTCTTAGAGTAATTTCGACGCCATTTTTGGTTGCTAGAGTTCCCTGTCTTTCTTCCTTCCTTTCTTTCTTTCTTTCTTTCTTTCTCTTGTTTGCCTGCTTTGACTCTCTCTCTCTCTCTTTCAATCTGTCATGCTCTTTCTTTCTCTCTGTGTGTGAATAAATCTGTCTCTCATCTTGCCAGTCTATCGTTCTCTCTCTCTCCCTTTCTCTATGTAATTGAGTCACCCTTTCACTTCCTTTCTCTTTCACTGTACGTTTATCTCTATTCCTTTTTCTCTATGTCTCATTATGTCTTTGAATTCCTCTTTCTTTCTGTCATACTTTCTTTCGCTCAGTCTATTTTTCTATTCCTCTCTCTCTCTCTCTCTCTCTCTCTCTCTCTCTCTCTCTGCGCCCCATGAGAGACACTAATCACCTTTGTTTTATTTAATAAGAACGAGAGCAGTAAACAGATGTACACAGGTAATGAAGACGGTACAAATTACCTGTGTTTTCTAGACTAGTTGCCAGGGAGAGTCGCCTGAGGTGTTTACCTGTTGTCTTGTTATTACAGGTGAGGCAAGGAGTAGAGATTTTATCTGTCTGTCTGTCTGTTCCGTCTGTCTGTCTGTCTTCTGTCTGTCTTTTCACCGTCTATCTTAGCTGTCTGTCTGTTTATTGCCTGTCTTAGTTCTCCGTCTGTCAGTCTTAATTTTCGCTATCGGTGTGTGTGTGTGTGTGTGTGTGTGTGTGTGTGTTTCTGTCAATATGTATGGCTGTTTATGTGTCTGTTTTTGTCACTCTAGCTGTCTATACGTTTGTAATGAAATACCCTAAAGAAAACGCGATGTGTAAACAAGGAAGGAGGAGGAGGAGGAGGAGGAGGAGGGAGGGCAAAAGTAGAAAGATGGGGAGGAGGAGGAGGGCAAGAAGTGGAGGAGAACGTCTTTAAGCGAAGCGAAAGAGGGAGAGATGGGAAGAAGGCGAAGAAGAATGGAGAGCAGAGAAGAGGAAAGGAGAAAGGGGGAGAGAAAACGTCTTTGAAGGGTAATGAGAGGAAAGGAAGAAGGAGAAGAGAGGATAGAGAGAAGGAAGGAAAGGAAGAAGAGAGAAGAGAGGGGGAAGGGGAGGAAGAAGAGAAGATAGAGAAGATAGGAGAGAGAG